GGGACCCTAAATTTGATGGACCGGTCAAAGCATCTTCGGCGATACATGGCCCCGGGCAACTTCGGAAACCGAGAGAGCCTCTCCCGAAAACAAATTGGCGGCTCGTGGCAACCAGATCAAAATGGCTGTCGGTGCTAGCCAAATTGAAAAAAAAAACACCACACGCGGGCATTTCGCCAAAGCTTGACGGACAGGGGAACTGAGAGCCATCGATGGCCGCGTGCTTCTTCTATGATGTGTGTGGACGGGAGAAGTGTGGCTTGCTGCGTGCTTAGTGACACTGGTCTTAGTTCCTTGGTCTCATTTGCTGCTTTCTCCAACCTGATGCCTTATAAACTACCAGGCGCAGTCTTTTCTGGAACCCTGTGGCCAAACCATCACTAGGACTCAAGGATTGCTAGAATGCGCCAGGTATGTTGTATGGGGAAAAAAAGGACTGCCATAGGTGTGGGTGAACCGGTATCAACGGATAAAAAATCCAGTGACCCTCCTAGGTTTGCCAAAATTTTGGCGAGTGACCGATGTGTGACACGTAAGTCAGGCTGGCAGTGGGGATTACTGTCTTCCCTCGAGCAGAACACACTCTGATCATGAATCTGTGCGAACCCTCTCCTTCCTTTCCGATACAGTCGTGATGAAGGTACATTGTGTTTGCCGGTTGGGGAAGATGGGAGAAGATGGTGACAGCAGTCCTCTTTGGGGACGATGGTGGCGGTAGTCCTCTTTGGGGAAGATGGTGGCGGTAGTCCTCTTTGGGGAAGATGGTGATCGTAGGCCTCTGACGCTGATGGGGACAAGCCAGCATCACAACCCCCCCCCTTAAACCACCAGTACTTCCTGAAGTCGTGGCTGTAAACTGGCCGTGACTTTAGGAAACATACATCCGACTATAAATGTTTGTACTCTATTTTTTTCCGCGGTCGATAGCCAGGCCAAGTACTGCTGGTTTAAAGACAACTTTTAGGTCATGAGAAGTCATAACAGATGTGCTGCTGTTCATTGCGGACAGTCTTACCTGGACGTGCTGAATTTGAATTATATGGAGAAGGGAGGGTGCACCAACTGCAGCTGCTATGGAAGATTGCAGTTGCTATAGAAGCTTCTCTGATGAAATGCCGAGAAACAACCTTCTCCGATGAAAGACGAAAAAGCTATGAACCTTCTCTGATGGAGGTGAACAAGCTACAAACCCTCTCTGTTGGAGGGGATCATCAGCCAACAGCAAGTCGATGTCACTCCATTTGTGGCCATGACTGATGCCCTCTGCTTTAGCCCTCGTCGTTTACCGCTTTCTGCCACCATTTTTGCTGTCCTCACAGCCTAGAGGGGCTCCATCGGACAACCAAAAAGGTTTTGGGGTGGGTTTTGCATATACGCAGAGAAAACAACTTAAAACCACCAGTACTTGACCCAGCCATTCGTTCTTGGTTTGGGGCATGAGTGCGGCGCAACTTTCGGGGCTCGGCCTCCAGATGAAAAAGTAGACTAGCGCTGGTTCATTTTCTACGCGCAGCATATTTCCAGCCCCAGACTGGTAGTGTAATCAGATCGCATCGGGGCATAAGCGCAGCGCAACTTTCCAGGCGCGGCCTCCGCAGGAAAATCGCTGGCCGCGCCAGCCAAAAGGAGGCCGGCGCTGGTTCTTCGTTTTTTTTTGACGCGCAGCATGTTTCCAGCCCCGGAGAGAAGTGCCTCGGAAGCGCTGGTAGTTTAATCAGATCGTACACAGTGTCAAGAATGGCAAAACCCTGTGTATGTGGTTCACCAGCCTGCCATGTGAGGTTGCTGGGGGTCTGGTCCTCAAAGCTAGGCCTTCTGGAGGAGAGAATGCTAGTTCGGCCTTCAGGTTTGTGACTGCTACCCTAGTTTGGCCAAATAGTTTTTGTCCTTTTGGCCATATGAACTATGACCGACACCTTAGTTTGGCTAAATACTTTGTGACCGCTACCCTGGTTTGGTTGTCTGGTTTGCCGCCGCTACCCTGGTTTGGTTGTATGGTTTGCGGCTGCTACCCTGGTTTGGTTGTATGGTTTGCGACCGACACCTTAGTTTGGCTAAATACTTTGTGACCNCTACCCTGGTTTGGTTGTATGGTTTGCGGCTGCTACCCTGGTTTGGTTGTATGGTTTGCGACCGACACCTTAGTTTGGCTAAATACTTTGTGACCACCATGCTAGTTTGGCCACAAAAGTTTGTGACCGCTACCCTGGTTTGGTTGTMTGGTTTGCGGCCGCTACCCTGGTTTGGTTGTATGGTTTGCGGCCGCTACCCTGATATGGTTGTATGGTTTGCGGCCGCTACCCTGGTGTGGCTGTATGGTTTGTGGCATGACAGTGCCTTTTGAGCAGTGTGGGCCTTCAGCCAGCGGCAATAACCCTTGCATGACATTTGGCCTATAGACCTAAGTGTGCAATCCTCATATGAGAAGCAGAGGTCCCCTTTTTACTCCCCAAAGGTGGATTTGCGCAGTGTGCCCAAAAGCTCAACTGGTCAGGCATGCAAGTTGCATTCAGGAGGTCGTGGGTTCAATCCACGTGTCTGCCTGTGGTACGCTTGGTGCCAACCAACTGAGATAGTCAGCTGGATCCTCTCGGCCCGTATTAGTAGGGTCTTCAGCCAACACAGGTGTCAGTGTGAGTGCAACTGGATTGCGTGTGGCGTGTGGGAGAGTGCTGGCCTTAGAGACTGCTGTTGCTTGATGGGGGTGCGGGAAGATGAAAAGGGAGGTGCAGCTACTAGCAAATGCTAGGTCCTTGTGTTAGCTGGACCCCAGAAGGCGGCCCTGACCCCACACCCTAAACCAGTAGGCCAAGGGGCAAAAAAACTGGAAATGGTAAGCTGAATTGATCACATGTCATAGCGCTGGGTGAGGGCGGAGTTTGCAACTTTACACACAACAGCATAGTCATTGTGAGAATAGTGTCTGATTCCATGCTTTGTTTCACAACCAGACTGCCTATAAGTTCCGTGGCGCTGTTGCCACAGCGCTTCCACGCTACCCAAGCGCCTTAGGGCAACTGCAAAACGAACACCCATCTGGTGGGTTTCTTTGCCGTTTGCCAGCTTGCATTGCCAATCACTCTGGGCTTTTTCTTTGACAGCTTGTATTTGATCATGACGGCGGATTAACAACACCCACATGCAGGGAAACACAAATAGAAGTTTAGAAATGGAGTCTCATACTAGCAGGGGAAGCATGCCATATACAAGTCCGTCGATATCAGCTCTTGGGAGTCGAAGCAATACAGGCATGACTGTGTTCCTCGCGTATGGCTTGCGGGCAGGGGGG